CCTCCCGGCCAATCAGAAAGCAGGGCGCCGCATCATTACACGGCGCCCTGCTTCCATGATTGGCCAGCAAGCCAGCTTCATGCTTTCTCGTCACATAGTGACGAGAAGCATGGGACGGCTTCCTTGTTATTATTATTATTACATAGTATTTATATAGCGCCAACAGTTTGCGCAGCGCTTTACAATATAAGGAAGACATTACAATCACAATACAATTCAAGACAAGAGGGTAAGGTGGGCCCTGCCCCTGAGGGCTTACAATCTAAAATGGAGTATACAACAAAGAGGTCAAACAAGACTTGTAACTATGTGCCACTTAGCCGAATTCCTATTGTTGGAGAGAGGGGAACGAGGTAGTGACACCGTAAATGAAGCACAGTGGTCATTTGCACAAAGCTTTGGTTTTATATGGAGAGTTCATTTATTTCTTCAAGCTATGAAAATGAGGACTTGCATCATGAATGATAAGAACGGCAAACATTGGACATCCTGGAAACGCGCACAGTTCACTCACCTTCGCCGTCAGGATCATGAGGCAAAATTTCAGGACGGCAGGCATCTTGACTATACTGAGCAGGAGCCCATACGCTTCTTTCACGCTCTCCGTCTCTTCTCGCATAGCCTTTCCTGCAGAGTTTTCCTTTTTCAGAAGAGCCACTAAAGTTGTGGTAATGAAGAACACCATTCCCCAGAAGAACAGGAAGTCTGGAGACAAACGTTAAACATGAAATTCTCATTTTACAACAAAAAAATGAATGTTTCAAACTTGATATCTTTTCAACTGACAAACCACATAACTGAAGGATTCAAATTCCCTGCCGACCAGTGTGAATGGAACCATTTGTTAAGACTCGGGGACACAGTGCTTGCATGATATGCTGCAGTATTCAATTGTGTTTTGCTGCTGCTTTCACCATCAATCTCTTATTATTATTTCACCATACAAGACATAGGGGGGAATTTATCAAAACTGGAGCAATCAGCTTCTTTCTTTCATTTTCAAATCTTAGCGGAACTAACTGAAGAGAGATTTTGGTTAATTATTTTTTTTGTATCATGACAAGTAGATTGTCATGAGGGACAAGTAGATTGGGCCCCCGATTTAATTCTTTGGACAAGTAGTTTGTTTTTTAATTTTCACCCCCCTCGAGTGAAAATAAAGAAGAAATACTCACTGACCGCTCACCTCTTTCCCCCTCCACTTTGGCTGTGGTATTCCCCTTCACACCTAATAGACCTGTATTAGACTTGATGACATCATTGGCCTTAGGCCGCTGGAGCCTGGGAGAGTATAGGCTGCGCGGTCAGTCTAGCAGTCAGACGGGACCGACGATTGCATTAGGATTTCTTCTTTATTTTTATCCCCTACACAAGATGAGCAGTTAACCCTTTGCAGTGCGGAGGTAGCCCCACTACAAGGGTTAACTTTTCAAAATCCCAAGTCCTGCTTTAATGTTTTTTTAAGATAAGAGCTAAATCAGACATATGTATGTAAAAATGTATTAAGGTTTTAAAGATATTTATTTTCTTCCAAATGCAGAGGTCACAAAATATTCCAAAGCTAAGCATATCATATTCTGTATAGTGTACAGTTCTAATGAAAGACGATACAGTACACCACAAAGACATTGAGGGGAAATTATCAAAACTGGAGCAGCTGTGCATGGCAACCAATCAGCTTCTTTCTTTCATTTTCAAATCTTAACTAAACAAACTTGAGAGAAGCTGATAGGTTGCCATGGGCAACTGCTCCAGATTCTGTCTGCTCCAGTGTGTAAGTATGTGTTTGTGTGTATATATATATATTATACTATACATACATACACACCTTAGAGCAGGAGTAGGCAACCTCGGCAGTTGTGGAACTTTAAATCCCATGAAGCATTGCAAGACTGACAGCCAGAGGAATGATAAGACTTGTAGTTTAACCATAGCTGGAGTGCCAAGGTTGCCTAGCCCTGCCTTACAGCAATGACAGCCTGCAACCATATAAACCTGACTTAGACTTAAGGGGTCCAATGTAAGAGTCACAGGGAGTCTTCAGGCATATAGGCAAGGTAAAGTAACAATAGATTCTATAAAACATACCTGGAAGGGTAACAATTCCTTTAGGCTGTGGTGTAGATCTCAAGTACTTGTTGCAGAAGTCTTTCGATTCAAGCGCAAGAAACAGAACGTTGCCCATGAAGTATCCAGCTGTCTGCCCCACTGAATTGCATGTGGACGCATACCCCACGTTTTCTCTGGACAGCATAGTGAGAGCCCAGCCATCCACAGCAACATCCTGCGTGGCAGCCAAGAACTCAAACAGGAAGAAAGTAGCAGTTAAAGCAAACATGTCCGGTCCATGATCCCCTCCGAGGAGATCATCCACTGTAAATGACAGGAACACCATAAACAGTCCTAACAAGTACTGGGTAGGAACCAACCAAGATTTCCTTCGGCCAAACTTCTTGATGTAAAGGGAGTCTACAAGAGGTGCCCAGAGCAGCTTCAGACTGAATGGCCAGAAGACAAAACTGAAAATGGCTTGGTCTGTATAACTAACATTTTTACTCTGGAGGATTAAAGGAATGCTTCCCGCCAGTCCCAAAGGAATTCCCTGCAAAATGTACAAGAGGAGCAGCAAAAGGATATTTCCCAGCTCTCCTCTGATACCTGTAAGTCCTCTATGTGCAGGCACTTCCGAGTCCTGAATCAAAGCTTCTCGGTCTCCTTCCTCCATTCCATCTGAACAGTTTTGGTCATTACTATTTGAATTTGGATACTGATAGTGTTGCCGACGCTGGCGGCTATCTTTGTGAGCAAGCGTCATTTTATTTTCTTTCTTTGGCTTACTTGCACTTCACGTTCAAGCTAAATACAACAACAAAAAAAAGGGAACGTTATTGTACAAAACATATTTTTATTAACAAGTTAAGTTTGCTCCCTGAGGCCAGGTTCACACCTGCCGGATCTGTGATTGTGCGGCAATCGTGTGCGATACTGTGCGGTCATGGAGTCGCCCACCACTGCCGATCACGCTGGCGGTGCCATTATTTTCTAATGGCACCCCAGTCGTGCCGGGCGGATCGCGTGGTTTCCCACCGTGATTCTGCCCGTGCAATGGAACACGATCTTGGCTACAACAGCTGTGCGTCGTATGTCGCGAAAAAAAAGATAAATGTACCTTTTTTTTTCTGCGTTTGCCGCGCGGATGTAACCCCCTTAAAATCAATGGGGCGGCAACTGCTGTGTGCAACTGCACACGAACGCGAGGTCCCGGGACGCACGTCCCGGATAGCCCAGGTCTGTACCAGCCCTCAAGCAAACAGATAGAGGTCCATTTATAAACAATTCACAGAGCCATTGGCACTGCAAATCTCTGAACGTTTGCTATATGCGTACAGAGGCAAAAACAAACATTCATAGTTTTTTTCTTCTTCAGGCCCCACGTAATTTCATGTAATATCGCTTTATGGGCACTATAGAGTTAAGGAACATATGAAATAAGTATTTCTTATGCTTCTCAGCTCTATCTAGAGACCATAATGCAATATTACAATTAATTGAGCCTGAAAATAAAAATATACTGGAGAACATTTGTTCCTGCCTCTATCTGCACAGAATGAAGGTTTATAGAGATTCACAGGGGGAATGACTCTGAAAATTGGTATGGGTCCCTTCAGTGCTATAACCCAATACTTTCCCAACCATGGTTTTGCTTCGGTTGCACTGAGACTGAAAGCCGAATCTGCAACAGCTCTAAGGCCCGGTTCACACCTGGGCGTTTTGTAGCGCGTTCGAACGCTCTGCAAAACGCTCAAACACCGAAATCCCATTATTTCCTATGGGTATGGTTCACACCTGGGCGTATTACAGGCCGTCTGAACGCGCTACAAAACGTCCTACGCCCAAAGAAGTACAGGAGCTTCTTTGGGGCGTTTTTGTCGCGCGTTTCCATTGGGATACAGCCAAGTAGCCCTCGGAAACGCGCGTTTGTTTAACCGCAAATCGCGGTAAAAACGCGCATCACGAAACCCGTGACAAACGCGCATATTCGATACGCCTGGGTGTCAACCCAGCCTTAGTCCCCATTCACACCTAGGTTTTGCATGAACATGTGCCAAAGTGAAACGTACAATGTGCTTGTGGTGCCCCTACTTGTTAATAGTACCCCAAATATGACTGATACATGTAC